TCCAAACGGTGCATATTTCAACCCCAAAAAGTTAAGGTAAATCAATTATCCAAGGCCTGCTAATGATATGCGATCATATCAAGCAAAACGCTAAAGACAGTGGCTATTGGAAATGAGCATAGATCTTTCGATAATTATGGAGGCCATCCAAATTGTCTCAACTTAATAGAGAAAAATACATACATACAATATGCATAATTATGTTCCTGTATATATTTACATTATATGGTCCATTCCAGCAAAGCCGTGCTGATTTCTTTTCATAACTCTTTCAAAAATAAATTTAAAGTTCTTTGCTTTGGATTATTTGGTCACATACTGACCTTTGAAATTTCAGAAAATGAAGAAAAACAACCTTTTTGCCCCGATCCTTGTTCAGCTGAAAATCACGTCAACAGCCACGATTTCCAAGCATATGATTAAATCAAGACATCCCAAATACTAAATTTTTCAAGATGTGCAACTCTGCGTGATTATTGGAAAAAAATCCCCAAATTACGTAAAAATCAGAATATGAAGAGCACTATAGCTAGTGGATTTTCACTGTATTCTTTTCAACAATGATTCTCAAAGTATGGTACCTGAGCTTCTTCTAGTGGTATTCAAAAGAATCATTGCCCAAGTGCAGTTCAGTTGTATTTAACATTTAAGCTCAATACATTTGCGTTTAACCTTTAAGAACTGTAATGTTTTTAAAGAATTCTTTAACAGCACTTTTTATTTAACTGCTACATGCAATAATTGTATTTTCTATCATTCGGTGTCATGTTAATGTTCAAACTGCATTATATTTCAATGGCTTACAATAGCCCTATATATACCTTTTAGGAGTAAAAAAAAAACCCTCTTTCTTGTTTTCAGGTGAAGAGCAAAGTATTTTAGGTGGTTCTAGGTGGTGGTAAAGTGTTGCTTTATGAAATGTGTTTTCCTCTGCCAGAAGTAATGTTCATTTTCATTCTTGTGTAATTTACTTTCAGCATGGATTAGAATGATGTTGACACCAAGTCAAAGCTCGACAAGCAATATAGATTTTATGGCTATATTGCCGCCTCCTATAAACTCCCAAGGAACCATAAAGATGATAAAAAATGGGAGGGCAGAGAAACAATAGAGAAAGGAATTAGATTAGTTTTCATACCTTGCCCTTTATGACCATTTGCTCGCCTACATTGCACCAGCAAACACTAGTAGAGTTACATCAAAAAGACAAACCAGATGTAGGAATAAATTGACACTTAATTAATATTTCTGTTTCGCTCCATGTTTTGTTTTGTTTTTTTCAGCACGCCAGTTGGATGGAGTCAACCTGCGGGGCTTCTATGTGTGGAAGCTACAGGATGATCATATACCTCAGTATGGTCTTTTCAGCTCAACCCACCACCAGTCCAAAGCAAAGGCCTCCATTGACGTCTACAAACAAATCATTACTCTGAGCGGTTTCCCCAAAGACGCTAGCTTGCACACGTGTCGCTCCAGTGAGGTCAGACCAGCGTGTTCCTTCTGCCTGTGGATGTCCAAGAACAAGGCGCTGACGGTCTTTGGCTGCTGCCTCATGCTCACAGCTGTCATCTTCACTGCACTGGTCTTCTCCACCGTCATCACCAGGAGAAATTACATGAAGGGGCGAAAGAGCAGAGTGAACATTATGAGCAGGAGAAGAAGAGGGAGGGGCAGTAGTCTGCTCATGTAGGCCTGTTATCAAGCATTAAACACAGGACAAACTTATACCGTACATTGATGGAGGGGCTTTAAAGGGGTCTGCAAAAAAATGTGCAAATCACATATATGCCAGCGAATCCCGATATTGTCCAATTTCCTGAGAGAATAAAAGCATATTTCCACAATGGAAGGTTAGTTCAAGAAAAGTGGTATTTTTAAAATTCACATGAATGTAGAACTTTCTTCTCTTGTTAAACTTTAACTAAAATCCCACAAAATCATTACAGTACTTCCGCTTTGAAAAATGGGAATTAATTAATTTACGAAATATGTCTTTGGTCCCCACCTCCCATCCCCGCAAAAATAGACAACTTTTTAATTCTAATGGCATTTAGGGGTGACTACACCTGGTGTTAGGTGTATTGGATTAATGTTATGATTATAATGATGTCATTGGAAAAATTACTGCCCTATAAGGGGTCCCTGGACGCCAAAAAGTTGCAAAACCTTGCATTAGTGTACACGCAAACTATAGAGCAAATACAGTAATTGCAATTATAGCAAGAATTGTTCGAATAGAGAAGCAGTGAAACTCCAATTTCCACTCTTTAAAAAAATACTGCTGGTCATTCAAAATTCCAGAATGGGGGCTCTAAAATCCAAGATGTCTACCTCAAAATGTATTTTTTCCTGTATAAATCAAAACTCACGTTGAATATAAAAAGTGTGGAATTGTGGATATTTTACCCAGTGCATGTCTGCATATATAACGATTCTTGAGCTACAGCACCAAGGTACATTTGAAGACTCGGGAGAGCAAAACATTTGCACCATTGATTGATGTTAATTTGTGAATTTGGTAATATGAAAATGTTATTTCCATAACCTTTTTTGTCCAGTATGATTATAGCATAACATTCGACGACCAAGATGGCATCCAAGATGGCTACCGTTAACTTGTCGTAATCAAATCCTTGCTGGTTAAGGTGATAAAAGGATAGCTCCTGGGGCTTATTCAAATCCCAAAATAACAAATTCATACTGCATGTTTGTGAAAAGACAATCTGACTGGTATGACTGTCGTCTTGGAGATGTAACAATGTCGCTCCCGTGTGGACGTAATACAAACAGCTCTTTTTTTAAGGGTTGAAAAATGAAATGAATCGGGTTTTGTTGGAATTACAATGTAGAGAAAGACCTTAGGTGTTAGATAGGAACTGGGTTTGAGGAGGAATATTGAAAACTAAGGGCTGCTTTAATAACAGCAACAAAAAAGTATATAACTTTTATTCCAACAAAAGTGGAGAATTCCTAGCTACGAACATTTTGTCGTGAAACTTTCTCTGCTTCAGAAAAGTTTCCAGAAACAACTGCTCTAGAGTTCAGTGTTCACGTGTGCCCCTGCTTCTTACATATCATCAGAATATACATCTCATTTCATCTCCTGTATTTTATGAAATTAACAACTGATTAATTGGAATAAACTGAATAATACTAAACTCAGCTGTACTTATAGAGCAAACATAATTCATACAACAACAAACATTAAAACAATAGCTTAATCAACAAAGACAGTAGAAAGCACAACAACAGTAAATTTGCTGTTCGGTGCTTTCTACTGTTTTTATTACCGATTTGCTTTACTGTTTGTTGTATATGTTCATTTGCTCCATGTACAGCACTTTGTATGCAGCGATGGCTGTTTGAAAGTGCTCTATAAATACAGTTGAGTTGAGTTGAGTAAAGCTAAAAATCAAGTCTCATACTGAGACAAAGCCAAAGAATAAAAATGAGTTTCAAGTTTTAATGATGCCAGCAAGGGGGTCTTGCTTAACGTACAGCGAGAGGTCATTCCAAGGAGAGGGACTTGCAACAGAAAAAGCTCCATCCCCCTGTGCCTCCACTTCATCCTCGGTACTGTACCTCTAATAATGTCTGGTTCGCAGACTTGGGGCAACGAGCAAGGGCGTAGGGGCGGAGGAGCTCAGACAGGTGAGGTGGGGTGTTTGTGTACACCACCACAAACTACAGTAATCAAAGTATCAAAAAGTCTCCACCTCAAAAAGTAAACAATGCAAGATTGCTTTCTTATTTTACACTGTTAGTGTGTGTGGTGTTATTTTTTTCAATATGTTATTGTGGTGGTTTTAGTAGCGATGAGGTACCTTTCATAAAGGGTGTTTGTAATGTTCTAATACTCTGTTACCTTATTCAACTACCCCAAAAATACAAAATAACAGCGATAACAAACTCCTGGAATCATCACCAGACAGACTATTGACACCTCTCTTATATTGAATCTCATCGGCTGTTTCGATTTATGTTGTACTGTACCACATTTTTGTGTTGATATGTGTATGACGAAATATATATATTTAAAACAAATAGTTTAAAGCAGTGATTTCCACCAATTGTGCAGTGGCATGTTAGTGTATATTTATTTACTGACGTCCTTCAAATGATGTATCTTTGTCTATGTATCTATACTGTAATGGATGATGGAGGATGCGAGCTAAGCTAAAAGCTATGATGGACAGTCCCTCCCACTCCCTCCAGCCAGTCCTGACAGCACTGGGTAGCGCCTTCAGCCAGAGACTTTTACACCCGCGCTGCAAGAAGGAAAGATACCGCTGCTCGTTTCTACCGACTGCTGTCAGGCTGCTGAATAAACATACGTGAAAACCTGTAACCATTGTAAATAGCACAGCCACCTTATGCTACATACTGTATATGCAGTTTCATATATGCTTATATCTATATCTATATCTTATATTTATATTGCATTCTATACCGTGTACAGTTCTTTTTCTGAAACATTTACTTGTGCATGCAACACTTAGTTTTTTCTTTTCTACCCCCCACCCCCCCATTTTCTGCTGCTGTAGACTGCAAATTTCCCCAGTGTGGGACAAATAAAGTTTTCTTATCTTATCTTAATGGCATGTAGGCACAGTGAAATGCTACTCCTGTTGCATGGGTCATTCCAGAAGTGGAGGACAATTTAGGTACCATCATTTTTCTTTTACGGTCCAGGTTAATTAAATAAGTAATACACCACCATATGATTTCGTTCAGCCATCTCAACCATGAATGGTGCACTTTTTATGAAATCTTTGCTTCTGTATTTTGTACATGTATAATCTAAAAATATATAATGTTTTTCCCCCTGGATTTTAGATTAGTAACAACCTTGATTAGCAGATGTAAAGAAGCAGTTTAATATGGCATAAGGCATATGGATATGGATTGTTATTATCATTATTATGATTATTATTACTACACTAAAACAATAATACGTCACGCAGTAATTAACCAATGACAGGAGACGTTGAGAATGCCAGTGTGCGTCACGTTGCTCGCTCTCAGACAGACTTGATGCAGTTTGCCATTAAAATGTTTTTGGTGCTTTCAACCTTGCAAGTCTTACCCGATTGATGGTAGCACACACACATAGAGAGACACGGTATAACGAATTAAAACGCCACGCCGACAAACGGACCGTCAACCCGGTGCGCTCCAGGAGCACAACGAAGCAGCGGTTACTTTGGAGGTTGTTTCCTACAAAGCTGTGTGTTCCTGTGGGCACGACAAGCAAGCTAACGTTCCTTCGTCAGGCCCGGACAGACAGCGGCGAGGAGGCCCCAAACCGCACTGGGAAACCGGGTGGAAAACCATGGCTAACATCGCAGTCCAGAGGATAAAACGGGAATTCAAGGAGGTGCTCAAAAGCGAAGAGGTCAGTCGAAGCGTTTGATTCTGCCTGTTTTTCTTTGTCCTGGCCGGCTATGATAGGAAGAACGCCACTGACGCGTCGTTGGCTCAGCTGTCAGCTAACCGCCGGTTAGCTAGCAGAGCTAACTTGCGAGCCGCTTTTCAGCTTCACCAAAGTAGCTCTTCGCCGCCGCTATTGAGCTCACGCGGACAGCTTGGCGACTCGCATGCAGCTGTATAACCCAACCAAGCACGCCTCAAGAGCCAAAATTAAATCCAATTTTACATGGCGTGTCTGAGCTAGCGCACTGCCGCCGTACGGTACCTGCTAGCTCAGTTAGCCATCAAAGATAGTTCGTTAAAGTCTTGTGTCATCGACTCAGTCACGGTTTATTCTAAATCGTATGTTTCTCTGTACGCCAAACGTGCTCAGGGCTCTCAACAAGTTGGGCGCTAACAGTTGAAATAGCTGTTGATCGTGGTGTGGGGTGTCATTTTTATGCTGCATAGGCAGGTTTGTGTTTTGACAGCACGCTCAATTAACACTTTCCAGCCTGTCTGTCCTGCTCACTGCTTCTTTGCTTCTTCACCGTTTCAGACGAGCAAAAACCAGATTAAGGTGGATCTGGTGGACGAGAACTTCACAGAACTTAAAGGGGAGATAGCAGGGCCACCTGACACACCGTACGAAGGTGAGAGGCCTCTGGAGACTTCACGGAGACTGCTTCCATTATAGCCAGCCATTATTAAATTTATTCTTCAGCAGGCCTCGCAAAATATCACTTCACTTCAAAGTAGCCCTGTATGATCAATAAAGCACGCTGATTATTACTATCCCCACAATGTCTGAACAACAAGGCCCAGAAAAGCCAAACCAAAAAAAAAAAAAAATGCAGCAAAACAATCATACTTAATTGCACATGTACACGAATCCATATTTAACTTGAGTGGCGCAAGTGAGCCAAAGTCATAATAGGTATTCATAGGTGCACAGCATTTTTAGGTGGAACAGTCTTGTCGAAATGCTTGGATTTTATTTTCACGGCCTGAAAAATGGTTCCGTTTTGAGAACATGCAACCTGATGCCACAAGGTGCAAAGCCTCCGGAGACTTGGTTGCGAACAGCAATCTTTCTTCCATTCCAGCCATTAACTTCATTCCTGTATTTTTACCATGAAAGCCATCTTTACAATACTATATCCAGATGAATGTCTGCCAAGCAATGAAAGCCATCTTGATTTTTACAATACTATATCCAGATGAATGTCTGCCAAGCTTTAACCGTTGACAATGTGTGTTGTTTCGAAATGACCCTTTCTCATTCTGTATACACAGTACCTTTGACATTTGGATCGGCTTTGATATTATGTCCGGCCCAATTTGGTTTGACACTACGGTGCCTGACCCTGTATGCATATCAATTTTACTCAAATTAGATAATATCTGGGAGACACTTTTTTTTAAATACAGTAGCACCTTGATTTTCTTGTTTACTACATTCTGTGGCCACGCTCGTCGCTTAATTTACTTGTATGCCAAATTCGTTGTCCCGATTGAAATACCCGTAATCTGTTCCAGCCCCTCAAAAAACTACCACAATATTTTAGTATAACACTGTAGTGTATGTAAGCCAAATCAAACAAAATTCAATGGGATGTGCGGACATCAACCTGTATTATAACGTAATGTAATAATACCTCAGATTTATATGCCACTTTTCTGGACACTCAAAGCGCTCACAATGGATACATCAGTCATGCACTCGAACGTTCACACTGTGGTGGTAAATTTTGTATGTAGCCATAGCCGTCTTCGGGCAGGCTGACAGTGTCAGCTGATGTAGAAAAAAGAAAGTATAAGTTCTGTTCATTGAACTGAATAATAAACTTTACCACTGCGCAGTGACAATTATAGCTTGAAAATGACTGATTGCGCATCGCATGCTTCAGGATTAACATGGACTCCTTGCTGAAATCAACAGGTGGTTGACGCAGCAAACTAGCAACACTGCCTCAATTGTGTGGAATATTGTTACAAAAATATGAGATAGGAAGTGAGGTCACTTGCTCAATATGCAAGTTTGTTCTTAAATTTAATACAGGATGAAAGAAAAAGGAATTTGGTTAGTTGACAGACATGCTACATCACATTCCTGTAAAAATGAAAAGATGTTGGATGGGAAAATGAAGGCAGCACTGGTTGATCAATAAACACTTAATTATGAAAATGAGAATGAACAACTCGTTTTGCTCAAGCATGTATCTCGTCGACCAGGGTTTCCTAACCAGGAATACCCAAGCACATTGAAAGGGTGTACGTGATAACATTTAATAATTTATTTCAAGGGCTGTTGTGGTTTACAATTTTCTGGCCTATCACATCCCTTATCTTTAAAAAGCCTGACCTGCTGATCCAAAATTTAGGCTATCCTGATTTTTTTTCTCTCATAATCAACAGCATACACCTTTGATGTTCCAATCTTGTTTTATCATAAAATATTGAATAATACGTGTGAAACTTTATAAATCCGTCTTTTTTTTTTTTTTTCTGGGTCTGGTCTGAACATAAAAAACAACACATGCACATAATGCTTCCGTCGACACGAATTTGACAACTGCTTGTTCCGCTTCCCTGACGGACCTGTGCCAATGGACTGCATTTTGGCGGAAGCATGCACTGATTGGGTGGGGTCAAGTAACAGGCTTGTAGTGTGATGTCCCGCCACAAGACACAGAACGATATTTGGTAGTCTGACAACATGACCGCCATGAATGACAAAAACTTGGTGTATTTTGAGAAGGCCGCTACATACTACTACTTTATCAAGTAGACCAGTAGAGACCCTGCCGTTGAGTAACATGAATTGGTGTCATTTACAAGTGCCAACTGTCTGCAAGGCCAGTAAGGAATTTGCATGTTATTGGATGAAGGAGTGGCAGGGAGGGTCCCGTGCAACTGCGAAAGTGTGCACAGCAAGTTGGCAACTGAAAAAGATGACATTCACTCAACTGTCATATCCTTAGCATTGACTACGAGAAAATCTGATGTCGCTGGACCTCGAATGAATGTTGGGACAAGTTTTTTAGAATAAACAAAGATTACGGGCCTTTAACTGGAGTGACATCAGGAACTTAGCCGGCTAGTCTTGTGTGTAAGTGTCTGGACGTGACCCTATTGTTGCTCCTTGTGAGTGTTGTCGTTTTGTATTTGTCAGGATAACCATTTGCCCTGTTCAGTAGGACCGTTCTCGGTAGAATTCCATTGTAGCATCATCATAAATTCCGATGAGTTGGAGATGATAACAGCCACTTGCTGCCAGACCTCTCTCTCGTCTCTCGATGAATGAAAATGTCCTTTTTATCTGTGAATGATCTTTGTTCCTTTCTTTCAGGGGGTCGATACCAACTAGAAATTAAAATTCCAGAGACATATCCTTTCAATCCACCCAAGGTAGATTGGTGTTTTATTATTTTACAGATGCTGTTTGAATAGTTGCCAGATGTCCAGTAGCAGTCCATTATTCTTTCTTTCGATCACGCAGGTACGGTTCATCACAAAGATCTGGCATCCCAACATCAGTTCAGTCACAGGTGCAATATGTTTGGACATTCTCAAAGACCAGTGGTGAGTCTGTTTTCTTAAGTGTCGTGCATTGCCCATACCGGGCATGCGCCTATGACTAATCAGCCAGATGCAGATAGCAGAGCATGTTTATCAACACCTGGCATTTTCTAACAGTAACTATATCTACCCAATTAAAAGCCACACCAGCTAAATTTAGCCATAAAAACGCATCTGTGCATACACTGGCCATTGTGGCTTCATCGTCGCGATTCTCAATGTTGTTATATAACACGGTATGTTTGCAGAGAAAGAGGTCACTCAGAAAGACATATATATATATATATATATATATATATAGTGAAAATTGATAAACCGTGCCACATTAAAACAGCAGGGTGCAAAGCGAAAAACAATAGCTGCTTATCTTCTGGAAAATACGGTATGTTAATTCATATAGGTTCAAATTTATTATGAAACTGCTTGAATGTATTTATTTTTTAAGGTTTGAAAAATGCTTACATTTTGATGTAGCTTTACTTTCCATTTTACCGTTTTCTTATTAGGGAAGAGCACCACAAGCATAAATGTACAAAAATGTGTTCACATTTCATTATTTTATTGCAATATACAGAGTGTCCATAACAGCGCTTTACCATTTCAAAAATGTATTAAAAATGCAAATGATTAGAAATTTTACTCAGATTTGTTCTATTGTATTCAGCGTTTAGTAAAGTTTTTTTTTTTTTTACCTCTTTTAATACACTTCGACATGGGCACCATTAGTTACACGAAGCGCATCAAGACGGTTCTCGATTTCTTGCCATGTTCGCTGTACCATAGCCTCATCAATTGTGGCAATGGCATCAGTCATCCTTTGCTTTAGGTCAGTAATGTCCCTTATCTTTGTTCGAAACACGATATCTTTAACATAGCCCCATAGAAAGAAGTCCAGGGGAGTGATATCTGGTGAACGTGGCGGCCAAGGAATTGGCCCATTGCCCCCATGTAAATGTTTGATTGAGGAACCCACGAACATGCAGCCCCCAATGTGGTGGTGCACCATCTTGCTGAAAAATGATGGTTGGTTGAAGCTCATTCAGTTGTGGTGCCACATATTCAGTTCAAAGGTCAAGGTAAACATTTGCAGAAAAGGATGTCTCGTTGAAGAAAAATGGACCAATTATTCGATTGCACATGATCCCACACCACAAATTCAATGTGATAAAAAACTTTAATAAACACTGAATACAATAGAACAAATCTGAATAAAATATCTAATCAATTGCATTTTTACTCAATTTTTGAAATGGTAAAGAGACTTTATGGACACCCTGTATAATTGACCATAGCTGTAATGCGAAATTTTAAGTAACGTGAACTTGAACATAATGTTTCAAGTTTATCATTGAATTTCATTACTGAAATCGTTGAAAATAGTTTTGTGATAAAAAAGATTGCAGTTCAAAGGGAAATAAAAGCATCTCCAACTTTTCTAAGCTTTGTTTATGGGTTTGTTTTTTTAAATAACCAGTCAATCAATTTTCTATCCATTATCCAGACACATTTGGATAGCACCCACACCCACACACATACAGACACACACATTAACCAAATCCTAAGATTCAGGCTTTTCATTGGACATGGACTGTTCATAAATGTGGGCATCGTGTGTGAGGTGATCCAAACAATGAGCTGTGTTTATATCTTTCAGGGCTGCGGCCATGACGCTGAGGACAGTCCTCTTGTCACTACAAGCTTTACTGGCAGCTGCAGAGCCAGATGATCCACAGGATGCAGTGGTAGCCAATCAGGTCAAGCCACTATGCATGTTTCCACAATTTGTTGGCCCTTTTATGTACGTTTGGTACTGTCAGTACTTATAAGGGAATGACGTGGCGCATAATATTGGATTGGATGAAATTTGGTTCCCAAGGTTAGCAAAGAATATTTCCAGATTAGTTTAGTTTGTGAGACTATTTTAGCCAAACACTTACTGAGATTGAGTTAGGCTGCTTTGGTTGAAGACCCTTTGAAGTGTCTGGCTTCAGAGGGCGGGGGTCCCTCATAAGGGGTCTCTGAGCCTTTGTTTTCCAACTTAACTTCTAGGATCATAGGGACACTCAAACCTCTCCACCACGTCAGGTTAACCACTCATGGAGGGGGCCAGAATAATTTTCCGCATATAATAGGTCATTTGCACCAGTTTTTCAACGGAATCTCTTTGTATGAAGGTTGTGAAGCTGTTCATGTGTAAAAATAAGTCAATAATTTGAAACAATATAGTACCTCGCCATTCAACAATCTCTTGCGAACAAAGGGATGACTGAACTGTCTTTACTTATTCATAGCACAATACTGCAAGGTTTGATTCAAATTATACTTTTACCTGGTTTTGAAAAAGTTCATTTTTGGCCTCTCACGTCACACTCCTGGACCATACTACTTGAGGATCACTCAAAAACAAGTTATAAATAGTTGAAAACAAGTTCTCCCATTTCAGCCAAGCTCTGGTAGGACGCTGTCGTTTTCAAGAGTGTAAATGACGAACATCAGCATGCAGTTATGTAAAGACGCCGCATGTGCAGACTGGACAAAGTGATCAATGACTTATCTGGGAGTGTCAATGTAATTAGTCGTGTTCGGCCTCGTTTTGCGGGAAGTAAAACGTTTTCTTGTGTTTAAGATAATGTTTTTTTTAATCCATCTGTGAGACACCTTACATCTGCATTTAAGTACTTCAATTTGACATGATGCTGGCACCTGGATTCTTGCTGTAAAAAAATTGAGAACAACTTGTCTTTAGGCAACAGAATATTCCGCCGGTGCCACGCTTGATCCCCTTTCATGCAAATGCTTGTTTGTTCCGCAGTACAAGCAGAACCCAGAGATGTTCAAACAGACGGCGAGGCTCTGGTCTCATGTCTACGCTGGCGCTCCCGTCTCCAGTCCAGAGTACACACGCAAAATAGACGAACTTTGTGCCATGGGCTTTGAAAAAGTGAGCATCACTCTGTCACATTTTTAACATCCCAAGCTATATTCTGTCCAATTTCCCATTTGCATTTTTTCTCCAGAATGCAGTAATAGTGGCCTTGTCATCAAAATCCTGGGACGTGGAGTCGGCGACGGAGCTACTAATCAGTAACTGAATCTTGACGACAGCTTTTACATCATCCTCATGCCACCCACCCTCCCTCACACACCCTTGTATCACCGCCATCTCTCAGCGTCTATTTCCGCATCACACCTTCTGTTTCACAGTGGACTCTGCCCCACCCGCACTCCCCCTCTGGTGTGCCACACACTCCAATCAGTTGCTTGGCAGGTACAGATCGCTGGCCCACTTGAAGGTCTTTCAACATTCCGGACAGCGCTACAATCAGAAGTCCGACCACTTAAGTCCCCGCCCTCTGACCCGGCCGCCACATCTCTGACCCTCTACGACAGGCATTCGTCACCTATGCAGGCATTCACATTCAGTTTTGGAAATGCTTTTTGTAAGCGAGAGTCAAACCATTCAGACAGACTCTTTTGGACTTCCCTGGAGTCCCAAAGCAAATGTCATTTTTAAATGTAGACAACGACAACCCATATACATTATCATGCGCCACTAATGGCATTAGTGAGGGTAGCCTAGTGTAAATAAATTCCACAAATCCAATTTAATTGTTGAGGCGAAGAAGACAGGACACATGGAAATAATTCTGGTACACACACAATGAAGGCTTATTCCTTCTTTTAGAATCCCACATCAGTTCAAAGCACCCCCGTTTTCGTCACATTCATGTGACACTGTCTCAATACAAGTTGAGAAAGTTATGTCATCCCCACCAAAATACATTTACAGTGTAATTATGCTCTTATTTTGTTTGCTCTCTTCAGCGGTCTGACATCCTCCCCACCGGTTCTTTACTTGAATAAAACCACCAGTCTCTTCTCGCAACATTTAAAATTAAAAAAGTGTATTATTTGGTTTTGACCTTCTACAGGAATATATTTGGATTCTTGTTTTTAAAAACCTCGAATAAACACATTAAATGCAACCTCCAAAGTAAAAGAAAACGCTTACGTATTGCGTCACCTTGACAATGCCAGCAGATATGTCAAAAGATTCATCTGTAAATAAAGTCTGTGTAAATTAACACTAGTCTTTTTGTGTGTTTTCTCATTGTATTTCCGAGCATGGATGTGTCTAGTACAACACAAACCAACACTACAGGTCTTAAAATTTCAGTCACAGCCAAAATTAGTGTTATTAGGTGGCTATTTGAGCTAAAAAAAAAAAAAAAAAAAAAAGGCGGGTAGGGTGGATGTACAAGTCCAAAATCAGCCATTGAAATAAAAATATTACAAAGATGGAATTGCATATCTGTCTAGTAGAGGAAGTGCTACATGTATTAAGGTTTATTAGTGTTTCTCACACAGTGATACTGTATATACACGTGTTTACTCTGCCATTGTTATACTTGGGTTCAAACTTGTTTTTAGTACTTCAGGCAGGGTTCTAATCTATCATAAAATACAGATCACCTCACATACACGGGCGGGTAATGAACAGGGTAACAGATGGTATACCAGCTGGCATGTTGTGCCTCTTAGATCGTCTCCAACAAACCTTGGCAATGGGTGCTATATTTCAAAACAGCAGCGGCACAAGACTGCGAACCACTTACTAGCTACAATTAGCAGCCCATATGACTAAAGAAAGATGAATATGATTCATGAATATGACCCAGCTTTCAATGCTTCCCATGAGACTAAAGCCTCTCTGTCACTACTAGTACCAGTATGTACTCACCAGACACGAAGTTACACATACACAATTTAATAAGTGTAAGTCCTACATTAAACATCTTACCTTAAAAATAACAAGATCCTTATTTACACTAATTTGACTTTTATCCCACAGGGACAATGTTGTGATGGTCCTCCAAGATCAATTCGAAATTCATCACGTAATCCCAACATAAGACAGTCTTTTTTTTCCTCCCCTCATAGATTCAATGTCACTCAAAATATGATTTAGTTGGAGCAAATATTTGGTTGAATAACTTAACTTTTTTTGTTAATCTCTGTTGCTGTTTAATGCATGAGTTTTTCTCATTTGCCAAAACACAATTCGGCAAAAAAAAAGGACTGCGCACTTCAGGTCCAGGTCACTATAAACCCTGTGGTAGAGACAAAGCACTTGCAGAAATATTAAACATGTACAATGGTCTTTTGGCGGCCTGGTGATCCAGTGGTTAGCGCGTCGACCTCACAGTGCAGAGGTTGTGGGTTCGATCCCGGCTCCGGGCTTCCTGTGTGGAGTTTGCATGTTCTCCCTGTGCCTGCGTGGGTTTCCTCCCACATTCCAAAAACATGTATGGAAGGCTGATTGGACACTAAATTGTCCCTAGGTGTGACTGTGAGTGTGGATGTTTGTTCGTCTCTGTGTGCCCTGCGATTGGCTGGCAACCGGTTTAGGGTGTCCCCCGCCTACTGCCCAAAGACAGCTGGGATAGGCTCCACAATGCCCCGTGACCCTTGTGAGGATAAAGTGGGTCAGAAAATGGATGGATGGATGGACATAATGGGTTTATAATAATTAAAATTCATTAAAAGCATGCATTTGTAGTTATCAGTGTATGTGTTGTAATGTATGCAGTTATGTCAGACTGCATTGCGATATCCTATGCCCTCTCACATAGCTAATTAAGGTAGCCCACCTTATAATAAGGTTACAGGGTCATGGTCTCTGACCACCAAACAGCAATTAGCCAATGCGTGGCTGGTTTCATTGTCCACATAGTTGCCTTACATTAATCTGTCTGTTAAAAAAATGGCTGTACAACTTGATCTGTGCTCAGTTGTCCTAAGCTTCTATGTTTTCAACATTGTGGTGTGAAGATGCCCGCCAGGTGAATCAGCCGTGCGTGGCGAGCCGGTGACTGGTGAGCATCCTGTTTCTCTCAGTCTTCTGCTGCTGAGTTACGTGATAGCAACTCCAGTGTCATTATCAGTGTCCACCCCCTGCAGAGCACCGCGCCAGCTCTGATCCCACTTAAGGTCCTGAGGTGGGCCCATGGACCAATATTGGGACATTGTCATTTGAGGTGTCATGTGCCACAGGTTATTTGTTTAATGTATTTTTTTTTTTTTTCTCCCACATCGCACCTGGACAAGATGATCCAAATACTTTGCCTGGCCATGCTGCTCCCTTCGGGTAAGACAATTTTGTTTGACATTTTGTTTTTGCTAATTGTTGATTTGTTCATAATATTTGAAATACTGCATCTCAGAGCATGGTGCAATGCACTGCCACCTAAAACAAGTTTGAACAAATTCTAAGCAAGAAGTGTGTTGGGGTTTGGTCTATCCAAAACTCAGACGTTAAAGGTGAACTTTGTTTCTGCAGTGGCTCATTCAGCTCAAGGTCACTATGCCCAGAAGCTACTCCATGATTTGATGGAAAACTATACCAGTGCCCTGCGGCCCGTGGAGGACACAGACCGAGCTCTGAACGTGACTTTACAAATCACACTCTCGCAAATCAAAGATATGGTGAGCCCTGCTTCCCTCAAACTCTATGATCATTGCATCGTCCACGTAAAAACCTAGATTTTAATAACCTAAAGAAAAAAAAAGGAGCTATATTTTATTTAATTACCGTAGTCACCTAGAGCCGGAATTGATGCAAACCATACATCGTTGCTGTATTTAAAGACACTGTAAAGTGAATACCGGTACATAGATTTGCTGTTCAATGCGTTCTACATGTTTTTCACCATTTCACTTTCCTGGTTTTTGGGGCATGGCTGAAAAAAAGCCCGGTGACACACTTCAGCATCAAGAATGAGTTGCCCACACTTAAGAAATTCGGCACCTTGGTTCGTATTACTGGTTGCCTGGCACAATTGTAAGTTACTAAGTTATTATTAATAGGGCTACACCTGTTAGTTCCTGAGAGAGCTGGTGGCCAGCGCCTCTTTTTGTGGATAAAAAGCCCTGCAATGACCTCGTAGGATATTTTCTAGCTTTTGGAGGCTTTCAACACGTATAAATTTTTGGCTGAAAAATATTAGGTTGTGTGTCTGGGCAGAAGAAAGATGCGAGACAAATAGTGCCCATTTTTCAGCAGCGTTGTGGTGTCACACTGCACTTGAAAGCAGGAAAATGGCTTGATTTTAGACAATGAAGCTTAATTTTTTTATGATTGATGATTTTTTTTTTTCATCATTCAAATTTGGAAGTTTAACAAAAGTGTTCATTGTGGTGTGTCAAATGTAGAAGTACTGAATGTCACCTTACAGGGACTTTAAGGAGCATAAATTGGAGATTAAAAACTTACCACGCTTAGGGATTTTTATTACACTTACATTAACACGGCTGAAATGGCTCCATAAAAGGAAGCCAAATGGCTATCATAGAGCCCAGAGGCTTAATGTAGTTAAATGAAAAGCTTGGCTCTTAAAGTACCAGGCCAGGCCTACTGTTACTGAGCTGGATCAGGTTACTGTTCAGGTCCACGACAGTTTCAATTTGCACTCAACAACTACCGTAGTTTGTTGTGTGTGTGTGTGTGTGTGTGTGTGTGTGTGTGTGTGTGTGTGTGTGTGTGTAGTGAAAACAGTAAAGTGGTGCTATAGCTATAAATACACACATCAGTGAAGACTGATAATCAAAGTGTGTTTGTGCGCTGGTCGTGCTTTTAGGATGAGAGGAACCAGGTGTTGATTGCCTATCTGTGGATAAGACAGAGGTGGCACGATGCTTACCTGAAGTGGAATAAGGAAGACTATGACGGATTAGAGATCATCCACATTCCCAGCAACCTTGTTTGGAGACCTGATCTTGTCCTCTATAACAAGTATGCCCAGATGTCACTCACTCTTTGGTGACTGCTATGCGATTATAAAGTGTTTTGTTTTGCCAAACAATGTGCTTTCTGTCATATGGCTGCTATATGTCATTTCAACAATCTAATCGCATGTGTATAGACCTGTACTAATATTCTATGTATACGATATATCAGAAGTTGAATCAATTAGCCGAGCAGTCAGATCTCCGAATTCACCTTACAGGATTTTTAACGACAGTTTTCACTTCCAGTACAATCATTGGTGTCTCCAACAAAATAAAATGTTAACCTCTTAACAGTATTAAGTTTTGCAGAAGAGGAGAAGGAGGTGACAATGGGGGACTAGATGCTCTCAAGCTGTTTTGCTACACTCTCTCTGCTCGTCCAGGGCTGATGACGCCTTGTCCGGACCCATGGACACCAACGTGAAGCTACGCTACAATGGAGAGATCACCTGGGACGCTCCCGCCATCACCAAGAGCTCCTGTGTCGTAGACGTCTCTTACTTTCCCTTCGATAGCCAGGAATGTAATCTGACCTTCGGATCCTGGACCTACAATGGAAACCAGGTATGAATAGAATAGAATAGCTTTCTTGTCACTGTACCACAAAGTGCAACAAAATGGAACCATCACAACTGGTTCAAGAGAAAACAATGACAACAATGACCAACAATAAAAATGTCAGCCAACCTCAGCATATATCGTTGAAAATGTGCTTCCTTTTCACCATCTCATCCTTGCCCCACATTGCAGGTGGACATCTTCATGGGCATGGACAGCGGCGACCTATCCGACTTTGTAGAAAATGTGGAGTGGGAGTGCCACGGCATGCCGGCCACCAAGAACGTCATCATGTACGGCTGTTGCTCCGACCCGTACCCTGACATCACCTACACGGTGCTGCTACAGCGCCGCTCTTCCTTCTACGTTTTCAACCTCCTCCTCCCATGCTTCCTCATCTCTTTCTTGGCTCCTCTTGGATTCTACCTGCCTGCAGACTCTGGGGAGAAGGTTTCTCTGGGGGTGACGGTGCTTCTGGCTCTCACCGTGTTCCAGCTCATGGTGGCCGAGAGCATGCCTCCCTCAGAGAGTGTGCCTCTCATAGGTAAGAGACGTCTCACTTTGGGTTTTGCGTTTTAATAAAATGATTTCAACAGTAAGCGATAAGAGTTCAAGTCAAGATTTGTTCATTCCTTCATTGATAAATAGATAGATAGATAGATAGATAGATAGATAGATAGATAGAGTACCTTGACTGATACTGAGACACAGAGAATAGCTTTTAATTTTAATTTTAATTTTACGTCACCAAGTAGAAGGCTGTGCAAAATTACCTGTGTGTGTGTGTGTGTGTGTGTGTGTGTGTGTGTGTGTGTGTGTGTGTGTGTGTGTGTGTGTGTGTGTGTGTGTGTGTGTCTATTACGCAGGCAAGTACTATATCGCCACCATGACGATGGTCACAGCCTCCACAGCTCTCACCATCTTCATCATGAATATCCACTTCTGCGGTCCCGAGGCCAAACCAGTACCCCACTGGGCGAAAGTCCTCATCATTGATTACATGTCCAAGATCTTCTGTGTGTATGAAGTGGGCGAGAACTGCGCCTCCTTCTCCTCCTCCTCGTTCTCTTCATCCGCTCACTTGGCTCAGAATGATGTCAGTCGCCAGTACCTCAACTCCCATATTGGAGCAAACGGCCAAGCGGGATGTCACAGTAGTCGAGAAAAGCGACAGGGTCAAAAGAACCCCAAGCCCCAGACTCCGAAACCACAAGAACATCCCAAAATGAAAACTCAGCACCACATCACCAGGGCAGAGAGGAGCCTCTACTCTACGTTTCCACTTGGGAAGTATGAATGCTCTAATGGGAAGATTGCAACAGGGGATTGTAAAGATGAGCAGAAGCTTCCATGTTGCCCCAGAGACAAAAATCCACCCTGCTGCCCCGAAGACAAAAAAACACCAGTCCAAGGTCCTACGGTAACATTTGGTCCCTGTGTGTTCTGTCAGAATGGCAATGGCATCCCTGGTGCGGACCCTAAATTGGTGCGCAATGTTGAATACATTGCAAATTGTTTCAGAGAGCAGAGGGCCACATGTGCCAAGGGGGCTGAGTGGAAGAAGATTGCTAAAGTGATGGACAGGTTCTTCATGTGGATCTTCTTCATCATGGTCTTTCTTATGAGCATCCTTGTCATTGGGAAGGCCCAGTGACCAATACAGTCAATCTGGTTTTATACTGCTGAGCTCTTTAAATAAGAACCGTACAGTGAAGCGCCATTATTTCCGGGCGGGACCGGGTCTGAACCCTATCACAAAAAGCAAAAATCTGCGATTAAATGATAGCCACCCAAAAATGGTTTGTTATTGCCTATACAGTGGTGCCTTGAGATCCGTGATACTCTAACGCGACAACTTTTATTCACAAACCAAGAATCTAGCGTGTTAATCTTCCAGTGATCAAATTAAAATGACGTATCACAGTCACGATGACAACCTGTTATGGAAAGAATGGATTGCCCAAGAGTCAGTGGCCATGAAACAACTTAAGCCCCATACTGCCCATAGATGCCACAAAATGGCAACAAAGCATGCAATGAAACTCCTTAACTTACTCCAACAGAGTACTTTGGCACTGAGATGCCATAAGATGGCGCCAAAGCAATACTTTAGTGTACATTTGGCCTTAGCGCAAAAAGTAATTTCGTCAAGTTTTTTTTAGCAAACAAGTAAAACTTTATTAATAGATTCCCTCCTTCTAGAAAAAGACATACATAACTTCACTATAAACAACAATCATAATGATAACTTGTGCGCAGTAATGTAATTTTTCCTCCCATTTCTGTCACATATTTGTAAAATCATCGAAGTCTATTTTTCTAAACTTAAGGTTGTATTTAAAAAATTTATATTGATCTTAAAGCTAAAGCACACCACTGTTCTGTCTTCACATTTTGCATACGTCTTGCCTACAGTGAAAGTGCTGCCATGCTCATGGTCAAGCACAACTTTATAGGTCCAATACTTCCCCAACCTTTGAATACACATAAGAAAGAGGATCTGCTGTTCACCTGCATTCACCACAGTGAAATCAGAAACCCAGGCCACTCAAAAGTACAGTGTTAGTACACATTCAGGATTAGCTGAATCTTTTTTTTCTTTTCAAAATCACCCAGTGAATGGTAAATGAGCATGCTTTGTTTGCAGCACAGCCTGGGCACTGGAGAATGTAAGGTAATATGGAGCATTAATTATGGAACACAGTCTGACATCCCCTTCTCCAAAACAGCATGCATTTTAATAGGAGTACAATACCGTACAATGCTGGGCGCATGTAGGCAGGTTGGGTGGTTTTGACTGGAAAAGAGTTTCATTTATTTCATACATCTTCAGGATGTACTGTACATCTGTTCATACATATTTGACAGATATTGCACAACTGCGCGAAATACCCTCCATTCACATTATGCCAATCCAGAGGCACTCTCCCCGATGGCCACGCGATGTTGCAGAGGCGTGTCAACCAGGAAAGCCCCGCAACATCCAGAGCCTTGAAGAACTCCGGGCAGATCTCATCCACCCCTGGGGCTTTGCCACCGAGGGGCTTTTTAACCACTTCGTGGCTTCAACCTTAGAGATAGGAAAGCCCACCTCAGAGTCCTCAGACTCTGCTTCCTCTATGGAAGGTGTGTTGATGGAGTTGAGGAGGTCTTCGAAGTATTCTGCCTGAGTTGAGGTTAGCTGCGCCCCATCTCTACTGTACACAGTGTTAATGGTGCACAACTTCCCCCTCCTAAGACGTCGGATGGTGGACCATGATTTCTTCGAAGCCGTCCGGAAGTCGGCCTCACCCAACTCTTCCTACGTCTGGGTTTTTGCCTCGGCGACCGCTGAAGCTGAGTTCCGCTTGGCCAACCGATACCTATCAGCTGCCTTTGGAGTCCCACAGGCCATAAAGGCATCTGCGAATAAAAATCCCTCGTTTAAACTTTAAACAGGTTTCCTTTAACCTGTTTTTTTCAGTGCCATTAATGAGTTTAGAGTGAATGCGATACAGCTAAAATAAAAGCTATTACTGTAATCACAAAGCCTGGGGAAAAGGCTCATCTGCTCCACATACACGTAAACACATTCTCACATAGACTGTTTAGATTTATATATTTTTTTTCTCCTTAGTATTTTTTATACTATGGCAACACTATTACGGAAAAAAAGATATCATACTATAAACTACTTTGGGTATTTAATACTTTTGTTTTATTAATCTGAATTTAGAATGCTCAATAATCCACATTTGAACAATTTAGGCAGGTAAGTGACGTTTATTTGCGGTCGTGGATTTGTGCTGTAGTCTCCAACAGACAACATTCCTCTCTCGAGAGACTCGTTTGGTACGGGCGTGCCCACGACGCGTGACGGTTGAAGCGTGGAACAATTTAATGTCACAAAGAGAAGTCAGTTAAGTTTTTTTTTTTTTTTTTTACAATCCGCAACTGGGCATAGTAGAAATTGGCGGCCCTAAAAAATTCACTCTCTTAGCAGAGGATGGTTTCGATCCATCGACCTCTGGGTTATGGGCCCAGCACGCTTCCGCTGCGCCACTCTGCTGTTCGTGGTATCACCATATACACCGAAATATCCTATGCCTTCATCCCTTTTCAACCGCAAAAATGCTCAACGCGCTGTCAAGTTTCTTTATTGGCCTTTATTCAACAGCAGAGGGCACTATAATGCTGTGTACAGTGTCATGCTGCTGTGAGCATGTCGCTGAGTCTGGTGGAAGTGATGCATCAATTCGCACTGCACAATCTCCTTTCCGGTAGTTGGAATTACTCTAGTACATGAGCGGAAAAGGGCACTATAAAATATGTAGCCTATGTATGTATGGGCGGATCACATGAGAGAAATTAAATGGTCATAGCAGCAACAGTCACACTCGTATTTTTTGATCTTGAAAACAAGCAACAAATACAGGTGGCAGGATGATTGGTTAGCACACAGGTGTCAAAGTTCGGTACTCGAGGGCCGTCGTCCTGCATGTTTTCCATCTCTCCCTATTGCAACACACCTGATTCAAATGAACACGATCGATATCAGGTTTCTGCAGAGCTTGTTGATCATTTTTTTCCAAATTTTATTATAGATTTTCAGTGCTATAAAAATACCAGGCACCCACAGTATAAGTACAGTATACCAAAGAGCATAAACATGATCAAATTATGTTTCAAATTTTTTGATGCACCTTTAAATAGTTATTTGTATCAAACATACTGACAGAAAGTGTCCCCAAAGGAATCTAGTGCGGTGCAAGGTGTTTACGAGGGGACGCCTATTCTGCTACGTCCCTTAACGATCCGCCTTTTCCCCCAGAAGTTTGGAAAAAGCTTGTGGACGCCATCTGCTGCATCCGATTAAGGTTTGAGCTGTTTTCCATAACTTCTCATTTGTCCGAATATGCGGGTTAAACGCTAACGAGCTACAGCTCCTTCATTAGGGGGACCATGCAGTTTCATTCTTGATTCGCCGCAAACGCCACTTTGACATGAGCTTGTGGTTGTCTTGGAGATTCTTGCGCGTCTATTTGGGAAATGCAAACTTCGCTTTGCATGTCTAGATCTGATTGTATTCTGTCGACGCGCGTCAAATAGAATCAGTGCTAGGAAAAGAACGTTACGTTCTATTTCAGGTTATCCCTGAAATTGAACGTCAATTTTTACAGTTCGGTTTCACTTCAGTGAAGACTGGAAATATGAGTTCGTGTACTGTATTACCTAATTTCACTTAGACTGAAAGAACATTTTTGCTGCTGTTGTTGCTGTTGTAGAGAATTAATCAGCAAAGGAAAATAATGCATTAAGAAGGAATTCAAAGAAAATTAAATCTAATGTAAGCAATTAGCAGAACAAATCGGAGATTGCGTTGCATGTTGCAATGTGGTAACAAAAGTTTTTGTCTAATTTGGCTCCGTAATATTTGTACACTTTGTACAAAGTTGCAAGTATTATGTGATTGACAGTAATACTGTGTAAATCGATACAACAAAGAATTGTACACCCTATATGTATAGCATATTAATTGCAGTAATTCCTAATCACTGTTTTGTGGTACATTATTGTGCCATTAGAGCTCAGCAGGTGTGCCACAGGAAATGACCCGATTTCGCTTAAATCGGCTAAACATTATTTATCGAGTGCAAATAATGTATCTTTGCTCATCTCTCTATGTCAGCAACATAATGTGATAGGCAGAACATTTAATTGCATTTCCACAAGACCTCTCATTGTATTGTAGATGTATAACAATTCTGTTTTATATGTAAAATAAGTGCCTTACATACTGGAAATATGTGCCTTAGTTCGTTAAAGGGAAACACTGCTCTGTTCTGATTTCAGATGTCTGAGCAAAAAGAGACACCGGTGACAAAAGCAAACAGTGGGAGATGTCATATCGTTTCCAAATGGAAAACAAATGAACCTATTTCCCAACATGAGGGTGAAACAGACCTCCAGAGTGGTGCCTCTCAAGTCCCCTTGAACCTCGTGAGCACCAGCCAAGGTCACGCTGCTTTCCCAGACAGTGTTTACCTGCTAGCTTCCGTCATCTTCCAGAACAGCCACCAGGAGAAGCCTGCAGGTCGCCAGCTGGTGAGGTATGGTGAAGGGAAGGAGCTGCCTTTGCCACAAGTTGAAGACGAGATGCTACGTCCTGCCTATGAGCTGGCCTTCAATACGCTGATATGTAAGAGACTACTAATGCAAGTTGTTTTTCTTATAAATGCACGTTTGAGTATGCATAAAGCTAATCGTGACTTTTGACTTTGTCATAAAGACTAGAACAGGATGAAAGGATCAAAAACGAATGAAATGAATGCTTTGCAAGGGCTGGACTGGTTGTTTGCATTTCTGCGTCACGGTCAAAAGGTCCCGGGTTCAAATCTCAACTCAGACCCTTCTGTGTAGAGTCTTCAATATTCCCTTCATACTTGTGTCAGTTTCCTCCAGGTAGTCTACTCCAGCTTCCTCTCTCATCCCACAAATATGTATCGTATGGTTTGTTAATGCTCTCAGCAGTTGTTCTAGTGGCCAGTCAAGTGTGTATCCTGCCTTTTTCTGAAAGTAAGCTGGTTAGGCTCCAGCTCATCTATGATCCTAATCACAACAATTGTTATAGAAAATGGATGGATGGATGACTGAAGTCATACAAAAGCCAAAGCAATATTTCCCATAGGAAAGAATGTAAATCCAATTAATCCATTCCAAAAAGTAATATATTTACATTTTTAATGGGGAATGACTATAATTTAACAGACAGACAACAATGAGTAATAAATACAGATAACTATGAAATGCATAAATGAACTGCATAAAATCACTTTTACCTTTATTAAACTTAAAACCGATATTCAAGACAATGAATGTATTACCATATGTTATAATCTGTCAGCAACTCTTGTGAAAAAGATTATACTGCATCTAAGCAAGGAATTATGTAGCACGTGCTGGGTGACGATCCGTGCCGCTCACTCCTGTGAAGATGTGCTGCACCCCATAAAGCACCACAACATCTAACCATGCTTAAATTCGGCTGAGAAAATATGAAGTTAGGAATACAGACAGAGGAAAGAGGGTGAAGGGGCATGTCTGAATTGGAAACAAAAGACCAGTAGCACCAAAAATGGCCCTACGTCCATGATGCAACGTGTCATGTTGACATGTTTACAAGTCTTACAAGAAAAGTAAGAAAGTTACGCATGCACAGGAAATGTTTTATGTAGGTTATTGATTCTAGGAAGTAACTGGCCAAGTCCCCCAAGCGGGTGGACGTGTTTGGTGTTGACAATTGTTAACAATTTTAAAGGTCCAAAAAAAACACATCTTGCAAAAACCGAGCCTTACGAAAATTGAGGTTCCACCACTGTATTTTGCATGTGTTAGTGGTCTTCTGGAAAACTTCCGTCTTAGCACTTTTCCCACCTTAAAAAAAAACCCTGTTGTTTCTTTTATCAAATGCAGTGAACCCTTGCATATTCGCAATCCTGTACCATCTTGGTGCCAAAGAACTATGTCGATGAGAGGTGAGGAGCTTCATCTAGACAAAAATAGTGCTTTGCTGACATCTTGTGGCATCTTGGTCCCAAAGAACTGTGTCGGCATGAGTTGAGAAACTTAATTTAGACAAAAGTAGTGCTCTGCCATAATCCCGTGGCATCTATAGGCAATTCTAAAAATTTTTAGCGGAACATCACATGCTGACACATTTTTCAGTTTCCGGTAGGCCTCTGCCTCTATTACCCACAAATAACAGGGATTTCTATTTAGTACCATATAATCAACACTGTCTTATTCAGGGTAAACATGCATGACTTTTCAGTGATAATGTCAGTGGCAACGTTCATTTTGATTTAATTTTGCTTTTGTGAGCAGAAAACGTGTCAGTGTGTGGATATTAATTTGACAAGTAGAATTGGATGCAGCGAGATGGATGGAGGGCAAGAAGAAGGGGAAAATGCTTTCATTACCAAGGGGAATTTCCGTCGGACTCTTCAGATCAATTTGTCTCGTGGTGTGTTATCTGCCATGAGGGTGGGGTCTTGCTGGCCTAAGTGTCACGGGTGTGTATTCACCATGGTGTTAAGGACGGGAAGGTGAGGCAGCGAGGGGGGGTGGAAATCGATTCATGTGTTTTGTAGTAGATGGAGAGGTCATGCGGGTATTGGGAACACCCTCACAGCTATGAATGATTTTGCTCCATTACGCTATCCATCCACTGAACCAGGACATGCCAGGGCGACTCCAAGTCCCATTCTTAATGCAGATCATAGCTGAGCATCCATCACCAAAGGCCCCGGCACTATGTGTCACCGACACAGATTAGTGTAACACGACAGGTCATAGTACTTACACTTGTGGAGGATGGACTGAATTTATTTATTTATTTATTTGGTACAGTGCACATTAATCAAAACAAGAATAAACAGTGTAAATGCGCCGGACTTGGCATAAATGCTTAGTTTTCAGCCAGAGTCCCAAGGCAGGTTTCTTAACATAAAAACATATATATATATATATATATATATATACCGTAGAGAACATTTCAGACTGATAAGTTTGACGAGAGGTATTGGGGAGGCCACTGTGAATTTCTAATCTCTTTGGCAACACAATGAAGGCAGAGTGCCATCCCAGTGTAAAACATTCAAGAGAATGTGGCACTGCAGGAAAGTTCCGTCAAGTGGCCTGGGAGACACACGCACACACACACACACACACACACACACACACACACACACACACACACACACACAGACAGAGC